GCTAAAATAGTTGAAAATGTAGTGAGATTTGAGAACAGTTCCAATCCAAGGGTATTTCAGTGAGCCTCTTGTTTTCTCTAGTTCTGTTTTACTCATCTTGATTGATTCAAAGTTTATAGAACTGCAGAACTCTGGGACTGGATTTTGTTTTACTTGATTTTATAGACGGAGGTTTTGCTATGTTGCCTCAACAGAACTGACACTTATGTTGATCCTTATTGCTTGTCCTCCCAAGTCCTAGGATTCTAAGTATGAACCACTAGGCCCAGTTCGTCTGCAGTTTACATAAGCTCCTTTGGCCTGATTCCATCTGGGAGGAGACCGGTACAAGATGTGGTAGCAAGGGTCTCTAGTTGAAATGTTCTCTCTCTTTCTCATTAATGTAGTGTCTCCTTTAACATCTCTGAAAACACTGGGGCCCTGAAGTTCTCAGACAGCAGAAACATAAATTCCCATACTGATTCTTAAGTACCTCCAACCTTTCCAAAAGGTTCTGTTTGGAAGGATACAGAATGCTCCATTAAAGAAAGAGCTTAAAATAATAATAGTAATAGTAATAGTAGTAATGATAGTAATGGTAATAATATATAGGCAGCATCTCTCTCTCTCTCTCCTCTCTCTCTCTCTCTCTCTCTCTCTCTCTCTCTCTCTCTCTCTCTCTCTCTCTCTCTCCCACCATCACCACAACAGAATAGCAGCCAATCACCCTCATCTACCCCTATCTAGCATTTTACTTGAATTTCAATATCACACCATATAGGCAGATGTTTCTGACTTTGCGCCCATTTCTCACACCAAGGAGCCAGCATTCAGTCATTTCTAAATTTCTTTCATTTTTATTATTTTAATCAGGGTCCCTTGTGTCCCAGTCTGGCCTCCTCCTATGTAGCCAAGGGTGACTTGAATTTCTGAGCCTCCTGCCTCTACTGCCATGCTAAGTTTATGCAGTATTAGGAACCAAAACTTCATGCATGTTAGGCAATCACTCTACCAATTGAGCCATATCCCCAGCCCCAGATTTCTAATTCTACCTTTTGTCTAATTCTACCCACAACATTTTGTCTTGGTCTTCCTGAGGCAGAATGGGCATCTTTTTCATCACTGACCTTTCTGAATTATTCCTTTCCCTTACCTTTTTAAACCTAGGAAGCCTGGATTGTGTGATTTAAAAAAACTAAACAAAACCCAGTCTTTCATTTTGAATTGTTTAGGAAATGCACACAATAAAAACTTGCACTGGTCTGGTTTCTCTTTGTGGTTTGGACATTTTCCTTGAGCCTATACCCTGCCTTGTAGGTCAGTTAAGCAATGTCAAGGCTACAGTACTGCCACCCGGAGAACCTTTGTGCTGGCTCCTTCTGTCTCCTCTCCATGGGATGAACGAACCATGACCCGACACATCCACCCATCCTGCCCCTGGCAGGCAGATAAAGGCCTGTTCACTTATCGTCTCCTCGATTGTCTAAACCACAGGTCCGTGGTTTCATGTGCATTTCTCAAAGGAAGTGTTGAGCAAAGGAAATCTACTGGGTTTAGTAATGCACAACACCCACCACTCCTCCCCTGCCCCCCACTGCAAACCGGTATTTTCACAAACTAGTTTTAGGGGGAAAGTTCACTGTGGACATTTGCGTGTATATTTTATCCTTGTTGAGATATTGGGTGAGCTACTGATCTTAAATATTGCTGTATTTGGCTTAATAAACCTGCACCCTTCATAAAGAACAGAGCGATTCATCAAGGAGCTTCAAGCACATTCATTTTACTGTTAGAAAATTGATAGCTCATTTTCCCTCTTGGCACATGCTGTTGCTTGGCCAAAACAAGGGCTTTGCTTGTACCCACCAATAATATATGTAACTCAGATGATTGAAGATTAGGGGGGACTCCAGAAAAGACCTCCAAGTCAGCCCATGGTTATCTGCTGGTTTTAAACTTGGCCCAGATTTCACCGGTCCTGCATTTGCCATCTAAGCGCAAGCATTCCTTATTTCACCAAGTTCAAATCATTCTCTAATGATAAATGCATTTGCTTTTAAAAAGCTCATTTTAAATATTGAGCTTCAATGGCAAGCCAGCCATTAGATGAGGACAAATTCTAAATTCCTGTCTAAAGCATATACTAAAATGTGGGCTTTATTTTGATCTCACAGGATTGCCCTAAATTTGCTTGCTGGATACAAGGTAATTAGTCCACCAAGTTCATTTTGATACCCAAGTAAATGTGCTGAACCATCTTTTTTATTTTCTTGAGTGATATGCAATAGATTCAACATTGACTTATTAAAACCCATAAACAGCTCCAAGTAACTGTAATCTTCCCAGGCAGACCATTCCCCACATTCATTCCATAGCCCCCTTCTTCCAACAGTAGAGGCTGCTCCATTGCAAATATTTGAATTATGTCTTTCATGTAACCTATGAGGGAACCCCCCCAATTATTTGCTGTAGACAAGGTATTTCACATACCCGAGTGCTATGATGTCAACGCTGCTTATGTTTGTCATGTCTATGTCCCAGTGACCAAGAGGCAGGCACTTTTGCAAAGGTTTTCGAGCCCATTCAACTGCTCCTTCCAGATACCAGACAGACACGGCCAGCCAGGTTTTAAAACTTTTTATTTGCATATTAAAAAAATTGTGCATTCCAATAATTAAAATCATTTGAACAAAAAAATGGCACTCTGATCAAACTGCATTTTACATCCTGCAGGACACCTTGGACCATCTTGAATTTTCCTCTATAATTCACCACCTCCCACCCAGCTTTTTCTTTCACCAACATGCAAGTTCTTTTCCCTCCCTGCCTGCCAGACCGACAGATGGGTGGGAGAGGCAGGGGAGGCCTTCCTGGTCAGTAGTTCTGATTCTTTGATGTGAAAGGGGCAGCACAGTCATTTAAACTTGATCCAACCTCTTTGCATCTTACAAAGTTAAACAGCTAAAAGAAGTAAAATAAGAAGGCAATGCTTGTGGAATGTACAGTGCATATTGGCGGCGCTCGCCTCATTACGATTCGCCAGCTTGCTTCTCCTGTTCAATTGCTGGAGGAAAAAAAAAAAGAAGAGATAGAGGCTCAGAACACTCTATAAAACGATATTTTCACTTAAAAGCGTTTTTTTCAAATCATAAAAATTCTAGAAGGCTACATAGGTTGTTACGTGAGAAAGTCAAATTAAAGTACAGTTATTCAATAAATGTATTTGCATGATATGTCGTGTGAAATATTCCCGCATTAAATCACTAAAGCCCGGCGTTTGTTGGCTGCAAAACAGTTTTTAATTAACCTTTGCAGGCCACATTCATCATCATCAAACCGTTGGCTCCTCCCCCGCACCCCCCATCCTCTCCGCTGCCCCTCCCTTCCTCCTCCCGCCGCTGCTCCCGCTCCCGCCCAGCCTGTTCTGAAGATGGGTGGGGGCGAACAGCTTACTTTCTTTTGAAGGCAGAGGATTTTTCTCTTGCGTTTCTGTCTTCTTCAATTTCGACTTATCGAATTTCTCGATCTCAGCCATATCGGGTTTGTCAGACATGGTTGCCGGAAAGAGCTGCAGGTACAAAGCCAAGACCGAGGCTAAGAAAGAGCCACCCGCCCTCGCCTCTCCCAGCTCAGAAAGCACCTTCTCCCACCCGATCTAGAGGTTCCAGTCTGAAATCCTACTTCCTCCCCCTCCTTCCCTCTTTCGTTCCTGGCTAAAGACCTTCCTCTTTGTAAAGTGGGGGGAAAAATCTTCCCCCTTGCTGTCCCCAATGTGAACAATCAAAGAAGGTGGCTCTCAAAGGTATTTTCATACAATGAAATTCATCATTGCGGGATGTTAACTGCCGTGTTGAAAAATAAAAATCGGGATAGAACGAAGCCACTTCCAGCTTCAGGGGGAAAAGTTGAATAAAACTCTTATCTACATTTTCTAGATGGGCTTGCTCCCCAAAAGATGCCAGGCGGCCCAGCTTTCTCCTCTGCACAAAGGCCACAAAAGCCGGAGCTGCAGCGGGCAGCCGCCGACCACCGCCCTACTCGCTTCCTCTCCTTGCTCTAGCCCAACAATGCAGCCGAGGCACACAATGCTGCCACGCCACTTCTCGCAAATACATCCTGATCAGCATGCAGGGGCCATTCGACATTCCTGTGCAAGGATTTCCCAATTTTCAGGCCTGGCTAGGGTAAGCCTGCCAGATAACAGCCCTCGAAGCCATCAGGCGTTGGAGCATTAGAACAAAGGATCTATTTCTGATTAATTACAGCTTCCGAGGCAAGGGAAAATGCTTTTGGGTGTGAGGATCGAGGAGAGAAAATAATTCCCCTTGAAACGGCGCAGCGAAATGCCCGATTTTTTAATTTTTTTTTTTAACCACCGAGTTCTCTTTCCCATTACTCAGCATCTGGAAGAGTTTAGCATCCCCCCCCCCAAAAAAAAACCTGGCCTAGGAGTACCCCTTGGATTCGCTCTAATGATAAGGAGGATTAGGGGCAAGCGCCTGCCTTGGACAGGCAGGGAAGCGGAGGACAGAAGGAAGGGGCCCTGGGGCTCACCGAGCGAGGCGCACGAACAAGGAGAGTCGGATCTGCTCAGAGGACGCCGCCGATTGTCGGGAGGGGCGCGGCGAGCGCCGCTATATGCGCGCTCCTATGTAAATGAGGTGATGTCACTCACAGTCCCGCTTAACTCCTTCGCGCCGCGTCTCCGGAAAGGCGTTCGGAGGCCTGTTGGACCCCCACCCCCACCCCACCCCATCCACCAGGGCCCTCTAACCACGTCGATGGCGGAAATAGAAAAAGAACAAACGCCTTCAAAATGCTTTACCCCCTTTGACGTCTATTTTATTATAATGAACTTTTCCAACAGTCGCCCAAATCTGTTCTTAAGCTTTAATGCACGATAACTAAGGTGCCTTGGTGGCACCTAAGGGAACAGGCATTCCTTTACTTAGATACTAGCTTTGTCTGCAGCCGACGTCCCCAAGATAGGGTGCGGTGTCCCTCACACAAGGGCTGCTGGGGTCCGATTCCTATGACTCAGCTCTCAGACCAGTGGACCGCACTCGCCCCTCCCGGCCCTCTTTGTCTTCCTCGCCTGTCTTGCCCCTTGAATTGAGAGGGCTATAAAGGATCCCTGCGTGATTTTTTTTTAAAGAAAAGTTTCGGCATTGTAGCATCTATTTTGTTTGCTCTAATTTTCGTGAGCACTCAAGTCATACAACTAATATTTGCTCAGGGTATGGTAATTGGGAGTTTTATGGAGTACACAGCCTCCCCCTTAACAATTAAGTCAAATTCAACTTCTGCTATTGAGCGACAATGAGGGTGTTAATTTCCTTTTTCTTGTTTTCACCAATTAAAAGTGGTTGCTAATGAGAGCCAAGGATTTCAGGGGATCACATTTCTTTATCTCTACTATCTGAAGATTGAAACAAGCGCGAACTCGGTTTTGAGGGGAAGGTTTCGGCAATGCATGTGGACGATTCAGGTAGAGAGGTGTGGGTTTCAAAATGGCACCTGAGTCGGTGAGTACCAGGGACCCACTTGCTACTAAAAAGTAATTACAGGTACCGAGCTTGTGCCTTCAAGTGGCAGATGATAGGAGGAAGCTACATAGGTTATGAAAAGACATCGGAGGGATTATTTCTGAGGCACAGAGCACTGCAAAATATTCCTTCTCCTTTTCTGTGCCCTGCGGGGGAGGGGGGACGTTTCCAGAAAGCCTTTGCTAAGCGTTTTTTTTTAGGATAGTGGCTTTGCCTCTCTGTGGGAATGAGTCAAAAGTTATAGGGACCCTAAAATGCCACGGCTGGAGCAGCTTGGACTTCCCCATTTCTTCATCTACTTCCCTTTTACTGGGGAGGAAGGAGATGGGGGTAGACAGGGGAAGGTGACCCCTCTGGTTCCCCAGTTAATGTTCTGCTTGGGTGGCTGCCTTCCTGCCCTACGACTGGGCCCTGGACCTGTTTGAGCATGCATCAGATGTCACCTCTCTGGTAACACATGCCCTCCCTCCCCATGTTCAATGCAGCGAGTCCGCTGCATTGTTGAAACACAGAAAAGATCTTGCAGGGTACATTCCTGGCCTCTTCTGCTGGCAGCTGCAGTAACACAGACACCATTTCTGTGGGTTTTTTTTTAATTCCGTTTCCCCTCATTCAGCTGTCGTTGGAATTTCTGGTCTTTCCTCTCCCTGTCTTCCTATGACAAAGGAATGCCAGAGCCTTAGGCTTGCCGCCTCTTCGTCTTAGGAAAGGTTAGCCTTTACAGAAGTCATCTTGCCAGAGGAGATGGAAGAGTGGAGTCTGTAAACATCTGGAATTTCCTACTTTGGTAACAGGGAAGCAGGCAGCTGTTGTTTGTAGCTGTTGATGGAAAAAAAAGCGGGTGGGTGGTTAGAGAGGGAAGCAACTTGCTGTGTGTGGGGCAGAACAAGAGAGTGCGTGTGCTGTAAATGGACTTGACTGGCCCACCGGACCCAGACGGCAAAATCGAAAGGGAAGGGTGCTACAGGGAAAATGAAATGCAAATGAAAGGAATGGTCTTAAAAGTGGTGCGCTCCTCCTGTCAATCACTCTTTTCTTAGCCCTCCTTTGTAAAGTGGACAAATGACAATAACTAAGTTATTGGAGTTGTGGGAAGATCAAGTTCTTGGGACAAAGCTTTACAATGGCAAGCACTTTGTCCTGTTATTTAAAATGGAAAGTTGAGAAGAAAAGAAAATAATAAATGTTTTAGCGTTTGCAATTAACAAAAACCTCAAGTGATTCGATATTACTTCTCTTATAAAGGGACACTTACATATTTCATTGCTTCTCTAATAAATTACCAGTAAAATGAGATATTTTGTTGTTTTATAGCAAATAAAAAGAACTCCATGGCTGGGGACCTAACTCAGTTGGCAGAGCACTTGCCTAGCATGCACCAAGCTCTAGGTTCAATCTCTGGTATGACATAAACCAGGTATGGAATGACAGGCCTGAAACCTCAGAATTTGGGAGGTAGAGGAAAGAGGATCAGAGATTTCAGGTAATCCATAGTGAGTTTAAGGCCAGCCTGGGTTGTAAAGCAGTGTGTTCTTTGATACCTCGAAGATAGTATTTGCTCAATAAAACATGCTGGCACTGCTTCAGTTGATTCTCAGTTCTTGAACTCAGTTCCTGAACCGATTACTCCAATAACTGTGTTTACATCTCAGACAGTTGAATCTTCTTAGTATTAATGTTCCAGATGTCAGGGATAATTGCTGCTTCGGGGAAGGGAGCATTTATAAGTAGGTTAGCATATGCTGGGCACAATGGCCACTGAGGTGGGAGTTTTCAATTCCAATTAAAGTGACAAAGACATGGAGAGGCAGAAAAGATTACTTTCAAAGGCACTGGTCACTTCAGCTGCAGGGTGCATTCTGACCCGGGGACTCTCCAGCGAAAGACAAGCAAAGTGACCACCTGGCAACTGCCTTGCCTCTCTCAACCCACAGGCCATGGCACCCTGTGAGACATGTACCAACAAGGGGGCCCCTGTCCAAGCCCCATGCCCCACAGAACCAGGAAGTAGTAGTGTGAGCAGACGCTTTGTTTTCTTTTGATTTCCAGTGTGAGCCTGGGCCAAAACTGTGTCTATTTTCAGTGATGGAGAAACATCCACTGAAGTCTGAGCTCATAAAAAAACGAGTCCTACAATTGTGAACATTTTTTAGTTGGGGGCAGAGCACTAATCAGAAGGGGGAAAAGGAGGAGGCTTACAGCAGACTGCCTGCGGCAAGGCTTTCAGCTGCTTGCTTTCAAACCCCGGTCCTTTTGTCTAGGTTCAGGGCCTCCTACCATCTGCCCCACCTGCCTGCAGCAGCCCACACTCCCCTGGGGTTCCTACAATTGCCACCTTTCCTTTAAACTCTCTCCCTCAGCTGACCCGGCTCCCAGTACCCTAGAGAATCTAAATCCCCTTGAACAGCCCCCCTGGGGGGAGGGGAGGCCCTGGTAAGAGCGAGAAGAAAGGACAAAGGAGGGAAGGGATTTTCAGATTCTAGTCCTAGCCTGATTTTGTACCTCCGTGAAGCCTTTGAGAGTAGGAGTCAATTCTCATCCTCGGCAGTGGGTACTGACTTCCTCATTTTACTACAAAAGAAACTGAAGCTCATAGGATTTAAGCAACTTTGCCTGAATCAGGCATCCAGTTATATAAGTCGATGCCTTTCCCTTGACGCCCACTCCTGCCACTGGGTTCAGTGAAAGAGATTTTTCTCCAGCGTTTTCCACTATTCTCATCCATGGCAGCTCCGCGTTGTGACTCCCGTGAGATGGAACAAAGGGCTCCCCCTGCCAGCGTGAGAAAAATGAGCAGAGGAAAACCGGCAAGCACAGACTGAACCAAGAAGCCTCAGTGCATTTGTAGCATTGCTAATTGCCCCGTCCTCTTTATTGATCTGATTGAACTTCTGTGTCTGCTTCATTCTGCAGCTTGAGTTTGCCTCTACAACATCCCCTCCAAGCGGTTACTCAGCCTCCAACTAGCCAGGCGAGCCGGTTCAAAAGTGCAGTCTTTTGAGTCTTGCTGTGAGTCGTTCGGTTTGGCAAGGGACTTGCATAGGAGGAAAGACAGTGGCAGGAAGTGTTGTTGAGAGGCAGGTAGGGACCAGGCTGAAGAATAATTAATACTGCTTATGAACACGACAGCAGTAGTAATAATATGATGCAATTATATGTCATATAATAATATATAAAAATATATAAATTATCATATACTAAATATATACAAAATAATAATGATATAATAAGAGCAGCAGCAAGAGCCAGCATTTTCTGGGTGTCTGCTTTATCCTGGGATCTCTCCCTGCAGTATCCCTCAAGACCTCCTTAGACGCCCATTATTTCCTTCACTTTGTAGATGAAGGAGTTGTGGAGAAATTAAGTAACCTACTAGGCCAAGATCGCAAGGCAAAACCTAGTGATGTGGGTGAAATTCAGAGAAGCTATCTTAGAAACGGCCTCAACTTTAAATGCTACATTTTTCTAGCATTCTAAGGTCTTCAGGCTGGCTTTGTAGACTAGCTAGGACTAAAGCTATATCCTTTCTCAATAGGGCCTTCAACTTAACATACTTAAGACTTTTGTATAGGGCTCAGGAGTAGCACATCATTAGGGCATATACTTAGCATGAACAAAAGCCTGGGTTTAGTCCTCAGCACCACAAAATAAAAACAAAAATAACCCACTTTAAAATATAGGTACGTAGGCTGGAGAGAGGGCTCAGCAGTTAGAAGCACTGGCAGTTCTTCTAGAAGACCAGGTTTAATTACCATGGCCACATGTTGACTCAGAACTATCTGTAAGGCCAGTCCCAGGGGTTCTGACACCCTTTTCTGGCTTCTGGCTTCTGTGGGTACCAGGCACACATGTGGTGCACAGACATACTTGAAATTTAAAGAGCAAAAGTATAGACACAATAAGCTCACAGTGGCGTCACGTGCCTGTGATTCCAGCTGTTGGGAATGGAGGCAAGATCATACATTCAAGGTCATGTTCAGCAATGGGTGTTAAATTTTTGTTTTGCCTTTTTTGTTATTGTTGTTTTCTCATGGTGCTGTGATTCCAAGCCAGGACCTTACACATGCTAGGCAAGCTCTCTACCACTAAACCTTTAGCCCCGGCAACCTTTTTCTATGAAATATAATTCCCAAGGCTGACACATTCAGCAATGTGCTTTCCTTGCAAGCATAAGGACATGAGTTCAAGTCTCAAAGCCCACCTAAAATGCTAGGTATGGTGCTTACATGTAATCCCAGCAGTGGGGAGGTGGAGATAGGCAGATCACTGGGGTGTATTGGTTAGCCAGCCTATTCTGCTTTATATATTTCAGGCCAGTGAGAGACCCTGCTTTAAAAAAAAATCAGTAACAACAACAACTACAACCAAACAAAAATCAAGGTAGACAGTGCAGCCAAAAGTTATCCCTTGAACACCCACAGATACATGTACCTGCATCTGCACACACACACACACACACACACACACACACACACACACACACACACACGAAATATAATTCCTATATTACTAACAGAAGGTGGTTAATGGGTTTATGATGAGGAAACCAAGGGCAATCAGTAGACAGCTGCTTCAGATTTGAAGGAAATGCTGAAAAAGGCATTATCTTGCTCACGGCTGGGTTTCTGGGTCTGGGTCTGTGTGTTTGACTGGGCCCTGCACAGAAAGGCCTGATGCATAGTACTGTACTGCCACCATCTTGAAATTCTTCATGATCTCCCACAAAAGTCCCACATGTTCCTTCTTCAGAGTCTCCTACATTAGGAAGCCAATCCTACCCTTTCAGATTACAGAGTCCTGTTTGTCTCCACTGCCTTACACTATATCTAGGATGGGCCTGTGTACTCCTTTGCTCCTTCTTTTGCCCCTAGTGACCTGGCCATAGCCACTAGTGCCACCCAGCTGTAGAAACATCCTATTCTTTTTCAGTTCAACATATAGTAGTGATTTGCAAAAGGATTATTTAGGAAATACATTTG